ATGGGAAGAGTCGTATTCCTCTGTGATTTTCTCCTTTCCACCAACTGACATCACTGTCATCCAAAATAATAATAATTTCACCATGTTGAAAGGTGAGTTCATTGTCCTCAATGGCTTCAAAATTGTATAAAGCTCTCACTTGTCGTGCAACCCTATTGTTTAATTGAATTTCTGCAGATGGATATAAAGATTTTGTCTCTGTGCATTGCTGTCTCTAATCTTGCAATGATAATTGGATAGCTTTAGCTATGTCTTCATCTCCTTTGTGTTTGTTTGATGATATTCCATTCTTGGCAGCAACAGAGACAGTCTGAGAACTTGCTGGAGGAAAAGTAATTCCTTCTTCTTTCATTGATTTAATAGTTGCAGATATTAGACTAAATTGAGGGTCCTTCTGAAATCCTTCTGACCATTCCACCATTAAAGATTTCAGTTTTTCACATACTTTAGGATGAGCCTTATTATTATTATTTTTTTAATCACAGCATGTACTTCTGTTGCAAAATTATAGGAACATACTTCTAAATGAAATATCTTTCCACAGTTAGCCACACAAGCCCCAAGAAGAGTTAGTTAATGCTTGCAGAGCAACAGGAAGAACCTTATGATTTACCCTTTTCATTATGGCTTTTAGGCAATCTTTTGCTCCATTAGGCGTGCTTCCAACTTTGTTACATATGTCTATAGGACCCCAGTCTTCCGTGGCGTTGTATTCATTTGTAGCTTTTTCTACGTCCTGCTTCAAGGGGTTGGCGGTGAATAGACATCTTGCTGGCCCGAGTCGCTGCGTCTGGCCAAGGCTTGGCAGCCACTCCCCGCCGGGTGACCCTGCGGCTTCCTACACAGCTCGGTTCTAGTTCTCTATCAGTTTTGAAAGCGTGGGTTACAAATTGTTTTCTTTTAGGGTTTGAAACACTTCACTCTAAGCCCCCCTGGCCTACAAGGTTTGTGTGGAGAATTCTGCTGTTACTTTAATGGCTTTTCCTTTTGAAATGATTCACTGCTTTTCTGTAACCACTTTTAAGATTCTGTTCTTGTGTTGGACTTTAAGATTTTGACTTTGTATTGTGGAGAAGTTCTTTTCTGATTGTGGCTATTTGTGATTCTATAGGCCTTACTTGTCTGTATGTTAAAAGTCTTTCCCCTTATCGGGAAAGTTTTTTTTATGTCATTTGTGTTGTCTTCTGATTTCTCACTAAGTCCCACTGATCTTTTATTAATCTTCTTGTGGCATCTAGGAGATGTTAGATCCATTTTTCACGTTTTTTTTTTTTTTGGTACCCAGGATAGAACTCGGGTCCTTGTGCTTGCAAGACAGGCAGTGGAACCCCTGAGCTACATCCCGGGGCCCCACGTTCTTTTGTTTTTAAGGCATCACTCATTGACTGATCGCCAACAACAGCCCCATCTTCTAGTCCTGACGCTTTGTCTTGTCACTGCTCACTTCCGCTGCCCATACTTTCCACAGAGTTTTTAATAGCCTGAAGTTCTACTTTGAGCCCTTTTATGGAATCTAAATTCCTTTTTATGCTGGTCATTCACATTTTGCACCATTTTGTTTAGCTCTTCTAGCTTTTTATTAGTGTCTTCTATAGACTCAATAATCATTTTATTTGGCCCAGTATCTTTTTACTTGTATCTACTATGAGCTTGCCAAATGCCTTATTGATCTGTTTTGTTATTTCCTCTTATGTAATTACAAATCATTCAGGTGTGTGGCTTTTGGTTCCCTCCCCTTCAGTACACCATGGATCTACTATGGGGGAGTTGGGAATTTTTTTTTTTTTGGTACCGGGGATCAAACTTGGGTCCTTGTGCTTGGGGGCAGGCGGCGGCACCACTGAGCTAAATCCCCGGCCCATGTTGGAATTTTTGAAGTCATTTTATTGGCTTGTCTTATGCTTGGGGTGTGTGTGTGTGTGTGTGTGTGTTGAGACTTGCGGGTTGATTATAGGGAAGAGCTTTGTTTCTAGTATGGAGACCTCTTTAGTTAATGTCTACTTTTCATTTGTGTCTTCTGGGCATGGCTAACTATTGACCTTTGCTTCTGTCCCAGGTACCAATCACCTCTCTATACTTGAGATGGGGGGAGGCAGGGTTGAACATATTTTGCCCAGGAACAAATTTTCCAGGAATGGGCCACATTATTGTTAATGACCCCAAGACAACCCAGATATTGGTACCCCACGAAAGCCAATTAATAGCAACAGTGATATCACCTTGACTATTGTAATAAAATCAGCACCAATTATAGCATCAAATACAAATCAAATATTGACAAAACCCAAGGACCAATAATGTACATCTCTAACTGTAGATAAGAGATCTATAATTATAGTCTGAACACTAAGACAAACCAAATATTGACCTATTATTGATCTATGGTATATATCCACTGAATGGAACAACTTTGCCTCTACTAACAATAAAGCAGTATTCGACAGCAATACTGTAAAGTTAACTAGCTATCTTGAGATTTAAAAAGCTTCGTAGTTATACTAGTAAAAGGAAGTAGGAAACTAGGGAATGAAAAAGGCCAAATTTGAAAAATTAATGGGATATGAGGAGGAGAAAAAGTGAGGTGGGCGGAGAGCAGTTGCAGGAAGGAATAAAGAAGAAAAAGAAGAAAAAAGGTAAACAGTGCAAAGGCAAATTAAAAGAGAAAAAAGTTGAAAGGAAACAAGAGAAAAGGAGAAAAAAGCAACTATGAGAAAAGGGGGTGACCCCCCCCAAACCTGAAGGAAAAATAAAATAGAAAAAATAATTGGGTCAAAGAAAACCTACTGAACCCGTTGCTTCCTTCAGAGCCCTGCAGTCCTGAGTCGCACAGTCAGGCTCTAGCCGATTTAGGCCCTGGGCTTGGAGGCTCCTCCCCTGCGGCAGAGGCTCTGCAGGCCCCACGATGGCGGCCGCCCCAGCCGGTCTGTCCTTGCGCGGGCTGGAGGATGAGCAGAGTGACCGTCCTCTGGCCCTTACGAGCCTGGCCTGCAGGTCGCAGGCTGCGGGTTGGCATGGGCTGTTGGAATTAATGTCCGCAGTCCTGGGGTCCAGATGCCACTTCTGGCGTCCTACTTGTGACCCTTCTGCTTTAGCCTCCTGGGGAGATGAGGTTACAGGCATATACCACCATACCCAACAAGATTAGTAACATCCAAGAATCCCCAACACATTGCCGTTAGACACTGTGCCCCAGGAAATATAAAAGGGAAAGGGAAAACTATTTTAGATAACAGATTAAAAACTTTTTTAAAAGACAGGGTCTCCCTAAGTTACCCAGGGTGGTCTTGAACTTGCATCCTCCTGCCTCAGTCTCCTGAGCAGGTGGGATTACAAACTTGCGCCACCATTTCCAGATCCATATAGCAGATTTTAACCCAGGCAGTCTCAAGTGCTTTAAAAAATGGAAATAGAAAGCCCAAAAAATAGAAATGAGAAAGTTGCTTGTAACTTACCATTTAGTATCTGAATTTAATAAACACACTAAAACATGCTAAAAGCATTTTTGTTGTTGTTTTTTTGTTTTTTGGTACCAGATCGAACTCGGGACCTTGCGCTCGTAAGGCAGGCGGTGGAAACACTGAGCTAAATCCCCGGCCCTGCTAATAGCATTTTGATGTGAAAATGTCCCATCAACAGAAGCTGTGCGCTGAACTCTGCATGTGGAGATAAATCACATTGCCAGGCCAACAAAGAATGAGGACTCAGATCCCACCTTGTAACTCCCAGCTCCCAGAAAGATTTCAATCACAGCAGGTTCACTTAAGAAGTGTCTGATTAGAAAGGCCAGATGTAGTAGTGTAAACATTTTTTCCCTTTAACCTATTCTCTGAACTTGGCCAAACTAAGTACTTGACACAAAAATACTGCCAAAGACAGGCCTGGTGGCACATACTTGTAATCCCAGCATTCTGGGAGGCTGAGGCAGGAGGGTTGAAAGTTCAACCAGCCTGGACAATTTAGCAACTTACCGAGACCCTATCTCAAAATAAAAAGTGAAAAAAGGGCTGGAGATGTAACTCAGTCCAAAGGCCCAAGTCCCACAGTAGAAAAACCCCCTGCTAGACAGCCGGGATTGGGCGGGACAGCCAGGTGCTGCATGGAAAGACTCTAACCACTCCTTGTTGTAGCAGGTAGATAACCAAAGAGGCTTTTTCCCTAGAACTGAAGTAAAAGCTGTTGGTGCAAAAGGAAACATATGTACTCAAGTATACCCCACAGGCCCAGAAACTTTCCTGACAACTGCTGAATTTCATTTCGAGCAGGTTTTGTTTGATTTTACTTATTTATTTATTTATTTATAGACAGGGTCTCACTATGTAACCCAGGGTGACCGCAAATGTGCAATCTTCCTGCCTCAGCCTCCCAAGTGCTGGGATTACAGGTGTGTGCCACCAGCCCTGGCTGGAACAGATAATTTAACAGGAAGTTTACTATTAATATGTTCCTGCCGGTTTGAATCATGGGTGGTACATGCATGACTGTCCTATCAGGCAGCTTGAACCACAGGTGGTTAGCTATTTAACATTGGACAATGGGATTCAAATCAGAGCCACTCAGCAGGGAGATGTACAAATTATGACCTGGTTGGGAATGTGTCAAAGCAAGTGAAACGCCCATGCAAGGATTTCTTCCTGCACTGTAAGAGAAATAGTAGCCACAATTTTAAGATTTGCTCCTTAATGGATCAATGTTAGCTTGGATGAAGATGCTGGGAAACCACAGGGCTGTGCTGAGCGCAGCGCTTCCCATGCAGGGACAGCTCTCCCTATAGCAACCTGGCACCACTGTGCTGCCCAAACCTCCAACGGCTGAACAACCTCAAGCTTGAGTCACTGCTCTTCCAAAAGGTTAGCTGACGCAGCAAAAAATGATTCAGAACAATCTCGATGTTCTAGTGACCACCACCAACACATACACTTCAAAAGTAAACGTGACTCAATACGCTTTAGGTAAAAACTCAAAGGCTTTGTTTTTCATTTAGATATAACCAATACATGTAATTGACATCCATCAGACAGTTTTTATTCAACTTTCTCCATACAGAGTCTCTATTTTAAGTGATAGGTAAGTGTTAGATGCATTTTCATAGAAGACCAAGCTCCCCATGGAGAAGGGAATGCATTACACCTTGGTGGGTAACAGAGACTACGGTCCAGTGTGAGCAGTCTTCCTGGATCTAGTTATTCAGGTGCCACCTGCCTTGCCTGCACACACTCCAGCTGGCCGGCAACAGCAGCACAGCTGTGATCCTGCAGGCCTGGGAGGCGAGTCCTGGTTTGAAAGACATCAGCCACTACTTACTGCTGCTGTGATGCGAGAGTCTTATACTGGGTTCACTTCTTTTCAAAAACACTGATTTTTCTAGTGATGTTTAACTTTAAAAAGGTATCATGATTCCTTAACCCTCAGAGAACTGGTATTTTTAAGCAACTAACCAAAAAAATAACCAGAAGCACGAGTCTCTGCCCAGTTTCCAGAGGGTCAAAGTGCAGGAAGCGTCTGTGAGCTGTGTATGTAAGGCACCCTATTCCACTTTCTTCTTAAAGGTAACTTTTTCTTTGGTTTCTTGCAGTTTTTCTGAGAGTCTGTCCTTGGTCTCCTCCATCTTCTCTGTGAGGAGCTCCTTAGTCTCCTCCATCCTGTCCTGCAGATACTCCTTGACGGGCGGTGGGGTCGACATGTAGCCATGACCACGCAGATACTTCACTGTGAAGGACGTTCCTCCCAAGGTCACTGTGTAGCGCGCAGGCGTTGCAATCTTGAAAGGAAAGCAACCAGGCAGATCAACATGGGATTATGACTGAAATGAAGGTGGCGTTTAGTAGTGGGCAGCAGCCAGTCAGTGTAAATGCTTCACTGTCTCACAAAGCTCTGCAGCGACAGCCTGCACAGTCCCCAGCAAGGGAGACTCTCTCCTGTGCACATTCTGTGAACGCCCGTCCTCACACAGCCCAGCCCGATGTGTCCTCGGCAGATGCGCGTGAGCCTGGGGCAGGATGACCGCATCTTGCACCGCCCCACAAGCCCCAGGGCAGCCCTGCTTCCACTTCACCCCTGCAAACCCCATGCAGGCTTTGCCTGGGAAGCAGGCCTTTGCTGTGCCTGCTGTGCTTGCTAGAACATGGAAACACGGGGCAGCCCACATGTCCCTCGAGGGGCCCCAGCGTGCCAGCCTGCCCCCAGACCCAGTGCGAACACAGGGGAGCAGGGCGGCATCTGAGCTTCCAGGGGCAGTACGGAAGCCGAGAGAGAAACCCAGGTCGAGACGGGAGCCTGGGCCTGACAGGGCTGGGCCGTGGGCACAGGGCGGGCGCAGTGACATCACCAGCAGGCAGAGCTGCCGCAGTCCAGGCGTGCCCCCTGTAATTAGGAACTTGATTTACTACACTGTAATGGAGAGCCACCCAGCACTTGAGCTGTAGCCATCGAGGTCAAATTACAACCAGAGAGAGAATATCCCAACATTCCACAGGATTCTAATAGGGATGGGAGCATACAGCAATGCTACTTTTGAATAACCCTAAAAACTGTAAGTGTAGGAATTTTTACACAAGTAAAATAAAATAACATCAGGGTTCCAAGCATTTTCTACTTGTTTTCCTTCTTTCCTTGATAGAAGCATTATGGACCTGCATAAGATTTCTGTCTGTGGTAAAAAATGATATTAACATGGCTAAATCCCACAGTTCATGATGAGTCTTCTCTTCCCAAATAAAGACTCACAGGTGTGGAAACTTTATAATGTCTGAATCCAGAGGACGGTCAGGCTGTGAGTGTCTAGAAGAAGAGCCAGGAACTGGGCCCAAGCGACACCACAGAAAACAATTTCTGTTTTATTAAACCTTATTACTAAAAAAAAAAAAAAAACTCCCCAAAAACCCTTATTACTTTACTTGCTAAGAAGATGAACTATTAGAAACAGTAAAATAAATGATAAATGTTACTAAGAAGTCGGGTGGCGTACAGACCTGATTGAGGCAAAGCAAAGCATCAGTGGAGACATCAAGAACGTGACCCGAGGCCACAGCAAGCCCAGTGCCCCTCAGAGGCCCAGCATTGGCCTGCGCAGAAGGCAGCTCCTCGCAAAGCCTCAGTGCATTCACACTTTAAAATGTGTGTGACAGGTGAAAGATAACATTCTAAGTTTAAAAACAAGCATTCTGAGTTTACAGAAGTTCTGTGGGGAGTGAACTGGCGGCACCCACCTTGAACATGGCATAGGCTGTCAGGGCATTTCCACTCTGGGAGTTTTTCAGGATGTTCACAATACTGTCAGGTAACCCGATGAGCTCTAGAAAAGGAATGACATTCACTCCTCTAGAAAGAGACAAAGTAAGTTACATGTAAACAAGATTTGAAAGATAAATATCTTTAAGAGATTATTACTGAATTTTTAAGTTGATTCTGCATTACCGAATACTTTAATTTCACTCTAATATCTTACTTGAAGAACAATAGCATACCCAGAGGGTATGGTAAGCTATAGCTTACCATCTGCCTGAGTTATTAGTGTATTTAGAAGTAAGGCTGAGGCAGGAGGATCTCAAGTTCAAGGCCAGCCTGGGAAACTTAAAGTCAAAATAAAACAAAATTCTGGTCTAGTCGTGCAAGGCCAAGGGTTTAATCCCCAATACTGGGAGGAAAAGTAGAAGCACTACAGCAAACTTAATCACCTTAACTAGGAGAACAGGGTCAGAACAATTTACCTGACCTTTGTTTCCTCTCCCAAACACCACTTCCTTAGAATGCTCCAACTCACACTTCAGGACTTCAGATTTTTCCTCCTGCCTTTAAAATTCACATCAGGGAAGACCATTATTGTAAAGCAGGGATATTTAAGTACAGTAAGTCCTCAATTTACAAACGAGTTCTGTTCCACAAGAGTTTGTACACTGGATTTATTTCTAAGTCTGACAGAGCGAGGCTTCCACACCTCTGACACAAATGTGCACTGTATATTGCTCTGTGCTTCCTAGCAGTGCCTTCCACAACAGCACTGCTCTCCTCTTCCTTCAGGATGTCAGGGCTCTGACTGAGCACTGCACTGCTGTGCACTATGGCACTGTCCAGCAGTTCGACTGTGACAATGTCCAGCAGACACGTGAGCTACTTCTGAGATTTGCTTGCATCTACAAATGTTCCTTATGTAAGGTCTGCTCATATCTGTTAAAGTTCGCAACTCGAATGTTGCTAAGTCGGGGACTTATTGTATCACTTATTGTGTGCTATTATGCAGAGAATAAATGACTGCAGCCCTGACAAAACTTCAGTTATTCTAAGGCTGCTTCTATTATTAGACTTAAGAGGCAGGTAAAGAACGGTTAGGATCGGACCGGGGATTTAGTTCAGTGGCACCGCACCTGCCTCGAAAGCGCAAGGTCCTGAGTTCGATCCCCAATACCAACCCCTCCCAAAACAAACAAACAAAAAAGTTTACTGTAAGAACAAATAGGATAAATTGCAATCAATTCTCGGAGGGAGAGCAGGCAGTAGTCTCTGAGCTGAGCTGGGCTGGAAGCCTGACTTCTGTACTTTGCTTCCTGCCTGACAACAGGGTGTTGCCCCAGCTGCTCAGGAGAGCCGGCCATGCTTGTTCACCTTGGGTTTCACAGCCCCTGTGACTCTCCACCCCTAAATCTACACAAGGACATCACCTGCCAGTACAGTCAGCACATCAGGAAACTTTACACAATAGTACACAGCTAACACAAAAGCACGTCGACATAAAATTTACATTAAAACTTCCTGCTACTCTTCCTCTACTGAGCCCTCTTCCTAGAAGCACCTCCCTGCTGCCTCTGGCTGAGGCCTCTCTGGAGGTGCTCTTGAGGTGTCCAGGCAGCTACTGGCCCAGGTGGCTCGTCTGGTGGTTTTCTGGGGACAGACTCTGTGCATGTTTTCCCACAGGGAAGGGACAGCTGGGGCTCTGTGCTTCAGGGTGTGGGACACAACACAGCCCTCTGTGTGTCCCTTGGCCATGGCATGCCCCAGATGGTTCCACCGGGACCGGATCTTCTCCTTGTCATTCACAAAGGAAACTGCCTAAACTCATTATCATGGCACCTTTAAACTTCTAATTTATTTCTAATATTAAAAAATAATTTGATCGACTTGGGGAAAAGAGTGTGGATTTCATCTTAATAATAAGCAGTCAGAGATACTGCTGATCACCAAGGAAGATGCCTATCATCAAAAGTGAGAGGACAAAGAACAGTGAGAGGAACTTCTAAAGAGATAAGTTTCAAAAACCGGGTATGGGCCCAATCTGGTCTCGCCTATCAGTAGTCTGGATCTTTTCCCAATCTCTTCAGAGTGACAGGACCCCACTGTGGCTCAGGACTAGCCTGCCTTTCCAGTCTCATCGAGTCACTGGTAATGCTGTACAGCAGAGCCCTTCCTAACATGCCTGCTTCGTTTTCTAGCACCAATGCAATTACAAAATTATTTCATTAATCATTCCTAGTTCCAACTAAGACCACTGTATAAAACCTATTCATTTAATAGCCTCAAGAAAAATGAAATACTTAGGAATTAATTTAACCAAAGAAGTAAAAGACCTCTACAATGAAAATTATAGTGCCCTGAGAAAGGAGACCAGAGGATATCAGAAAATGGAAAGATATTTCTGTTCTAGGATAGATAGAACCGATATAGTGAAAATGACCCTACTTCTGTTACACAGGTTTAATGCAATCCCAATCAAAATGCCAGTAGCATTCCTCACAGAACTAGAGAAAACAATCCTAAAATTCACCAGAAGGGACTCAGAATAGCAAAAGTAATGCTGGACAACAAGGGCAAGGCCAGAGGCATCACAATCATAGATTTCAAGTTACACTACAAAGCCACAGTGATAAAAACAGGATGGTATTAGCAGAAAGACAGACTTGTAGATCAATGGGACAGAAGATGCAGAAATAACTGCAGCACATTTAGCTACCTTGTCTTTGACAAAGGAGCCAAACACCCTCACTGGAGGAAAGACGGCCTCTGTAACAAATGGTGCTGGGAAAACTGGCTTTCCACATGCCGAAGATCGAACCTGGACCCATCTCGTTCACCATGCACTAAACTGAAGTCAAAATGCATCAAAGATCTAAATATTAAAATAGAAACAATCTGCTCTTGAAAACATAGGTGTAAGTAAAGACTTTATGAAAAAAAACCCCAGTTGCACAGGAAATATTACAAAGAATCAACAAATGGGATCACATCAAATTAAAAAGCTTCTAGACAGCAAAGGAAACAGAGTGAAGAGACAGCCCTCAGAATGGGAGAAAATTTTGCCAGCCAATCCCTAGACAGAGGACTAATGTCTAGAATATATAAAGAACTCAAAAAAATTAAACTCCTCAAATTTAAAGACCCAACCCAAAAATGGGCATCTGAAATGAAGACACTTCTCAGATAAAGAAGTATGAATGACAAATAAACACATAAAAAAATGCCCAACATAGCTGGCCATTTGAGAAAGGCAAATTAAAACAACAACAAGATTCTACCTCACTCCAGAAAGAATGGCTAGCATCAAGAATTCAACCAACAACAGATGCTGGCAAGGCTGCGGGGCGCGGGGAAGAAACCTTTCCTTCTCCATTGCTAGTGGGAGTGTACAAATTGGTACAATCACTATGATTATCAGTATGGAGAGTCCTCAAAAGGCTAAAACTAGAGGTTTCATTTGACCCAGCTATTCCCCTCTTAGGTATGATCCCCAAAGAGTTAAACACAGCATATTACAGTGATGGATGCATACCCATGGGGTTTTTGGTTTTGTTTTCTTTGAGACAGAGTCTCACTATAGTGAGACTATAGTTCAAGGCTGGCCTTGAACTCACTATGTAGCCCAGGCTGGCCTTGAATTCTCGGCAATCCTCCTGCCTCAGCTTCCTGAGTGCTGGGATTACAGGTGTGCACCACCACGCCTGGGTATCAGCCTGATACCCATATTTATAGCAGCCCAGTTCATAACAGCTAAACCTTAGAAGCAGCCTATATGGCCATCCACAGATGAATGGATAAAGAAAATGTGGTATTATATATGATGGAGTACTACTCTGCCACGAAGGATAAACGTAAGGCATTTTTAGGTAAATAGATGCATCTCAAGACTATAATCTTAAGTGAAATAAATCAGGTGCTCAAGTTTAAATACTGCGTTATTTCAGTTGTATGAGAAATCCAAGGTATAAATAAGAGGTGGAATGGGGGGGGTGTTAGGGAATAGGAAGAACTTGCTCCAATGGGAAGAACAACAAGAGATGGAGGAAGGGAGGAGGGGAAGAAAGGAAAAGGAAGAACTGGAAGAGAAAGAACTGGCAGGAAGAAGGCCGGGCATGGGGGTGCATGCCCACAGTCTCAGTGCTCAGGAGGCTGAGGCAGGAGGATCGCTGTGAGTTCCAGGCCAGCCGGAACCACAGAGTAAAACCTTGTCTCAACCAAAAAAAACCCAAACAACAATGGAAATAGAGCATTTGCAAATGTGGAGGGGAAGAAGGACTGGAGGGAGGGAAGCGAACGGGGACAAAAAAGAACATGTGCTGTATGTACATGTACGCACCGCTTACGATGAATGTGATCGTGTACAGCAAGCATGTACTAAAAAAGTTTAAAGTTGTAAAAACAACACATGAAAAAAGAATAAACCTTTAAAAATCGAATAAATAAATCTGTTCACTTAGCAGAAACTGTGAAGGGTAAAGAAAGACATACACCTGGCCAAGTACAAAAGTGTGTGAACCCTAAAAAACCACTTGTCGTAAGTATGGGACAATAATAAATTCAGACATCGTGCACAAAGTATAGCATCATGGGACAGTGGCTTCTGCAAGTCAAAGAAAAGGGCGCCTGTCCCATGTACTTCATTAACAAGGTCTGAGTCAAACAGGAGCGCCCACTGTTTGTCGGAAGAGCCACAAGCACCAGCATGAAATAAAATCCACTAGCATGCACAATTTAGCTTTCCCTAAAATAAAACAGCTCAGAAGCCTGAGAACTGCAGTGCTGAGCTAATGAAAGAAAATGACATTCTGCTCTCTGGTGCCGGAAAAGGCCACAAAGGCCTGAGAGATCTCCAAGGACAGTCTCTCCATGAGACCGAGACCGGACAGTCTGCAGAGGGGAAGACGGAAATGGGAAAGGAGCTTTTCAAAGAGGAGGAGAGACTCAGGAGAAATCTGCTGCAGAACGACACCACCAGAATGCTCTGGTTCTGCTTTTCTCATAGGAGAACTTGCTTACCAAAGACTAGCGACAAAAAAAGGAACAAAAAGATTCTTTTCAATAGCTCAAGTGGGACGCTCACAATCAGCAACTAAAATCCTGGGCTTCTCCGCTGGGCCCATGAGGAACAAGCACCACTCGTCTCCTTCCATGGGATGGGGTCCCAGGATGCCACAGGGGCTCGAGAAATAAAGCCTGAGCATGTAAAAAGCCATGCACACAACAGCAGGACTGAATGCTTTTAAGAACTTTGATTCAAAATGGAACACAACCTTATGTTCTGTCCAAAAACTAAGGGCATTTAAAAGACTTTTGTGAATATCAAACATATCCTGAAGTGCTTCCATGAAGTACACCCAGGATCTTCCATAAAGAGGCACAATTCCTAAAGACAAAGCACAGCAAATGACACGAGTAAAGGAGCAGAATGGAGCGATGGGGAGAATCGAGCAGCATGCACACCCCAGGTCAAGTGGGACTGTGTACACAAACCTCCTGGAGCCTGGTTTCCCAAAGTGGGGCACCGACTCCACCTACCATCCTGGGAAGTGAAAAACCTCTGCCCAGGTGAGCTTCACAGTCAACTGCTCTAGCTCCTTAATACTTTCCTCTCAAGACATTCAGTTATCGTCATGGAACAGCAGTGCACTCTGGAAAGTTCAGTGGGAGAGCTGACTGGAGGGCCGAGGACGGCTTGGGGGGAGCACCGGCGCCCCTGTCCCCAGGAGGGCGGCACGCACAACTGACTTGGAAGGAAACATATTCAAAAATGATCCATTTAGAAACGTTATGTTCCACAGGCCTGGGATCAGGCCACCAGACACTTTGGAAGGCCTGACCTCGAAGTCACGAAGTAAGCAGTATCAAAGCATAAGCCTGTGACCTGTTCATTTCTGTGTTTTCCTGATAGCAACCAGGCTCTGCTGAAAGGTACCTTATGAATTTTTCATCCTAACCAATCATACAGCAGAACAGCTATCTGCTTACATTTACACACACTCTGAGAAACCTGTAAGTACAAAGTTTGCGGTGCTGCCGAGTTCCTAAGATTAGCACTTCATCCCCGGGACCTTTGCCCCTGTGGACAAGCCAACTGGGTTTCCAGCCGGGTCTCCACCTCCCACCACCGAGTTCTTCCCACTTCCCCTGGCCTGGGCTTCTCCTCACTCATCACGTGGGAGAGACTACAATCCCTGCTTCATGCGGTCACTGAGGGTTAATAAGGCGACACACACAGTTTAGCACAATTCCCTGACACAGTAAGCAAGTGTTAGCTGTTCACCTTAAAACACAAAAAAGAGCTTCAGAGAGTAGCTGTCCTCTATCAGTGAAAGATACAAAAGCATTAAAACAAACAACTTAAGGCTTTCAATCAGCAGAACAGTGAAGGAGATTAACACTGATAAACAGTGCCAACAAAGCAAAACTTACTTCATGGCTGCATAATAAAAGGTTCCAAACCAAACACCAGAAGTTATTAGATGCACAGGGATCAAAACCTTCCCATATTGTCTAAATGTCTTCTTAAACCGCTGATAAAGACTAATAGATTTGTCCTGCAAAGGGTCAGGCTCTTCCTTTTTGTCTGAAGGCGATCCTTGGGCGGCACTGGATGATAGACCCCTGGCAGACGAAACATCCCGCGCCCATCGTTTGTGGCACAGGACCCTGGACTGGAGGGGCTGTGCAGACAATGGCTTCCGCTCCTCCACCAGGCACCGGGCCGCAGGTGAGTGCAGCCACCACTCCTGAGGGCTTTGGGCCCAAATCACTGTGGACTTGGCACGGTGCAAAAGCAATGGTCCCTTCACATGGTGCCAGTGTCCAAACAGGCCAGCCGCCCGTGGCTCCAGCCACGTCCTATGTGCCAGCTGAGACACAGTCCGCAGTACGTTCCACTGCATTCTGAAGGATGGGCTGGGTTGCAGCTTCTATAGAGACTAGGTATGAAAAAGAAAAGGTATATTATACATAGGTTCCCATTTTAAACCAATTCACTTAAATATTAATCATCGACTACTAGGACGTAAAAAGACAACACTGCTACCTAATGCACCGGAAACTGTTTAGGGACTGTAACTTTTAAATTTTATTAATGTGCATCCTTTAAATACGACACAGTAAACTGTCCTGCAGTTATGATGAAGGCTGGCGTTTACAGGCTCCCAGGAAGCAAACAGCACGAAGCCTGGGGTTGGATGACTCCCTCTCAGGCTCCACCCCAGGTCCACTGCACACAGAGGACTTCGCCCCAGGGCTGGCACAGGAATCACCATTAACCCCTGATGCACAGCAGCCCCTCCAAATCCACCAGCACCACGCAAGTCCAGGCGTGATGGGTAGTTCTATCAGCACCACCCAGGCTAGGACGCGTGGAGAGTAAGTGACACTCAGCTGTATATCACACTTATTGGAGGCACCTGGCCTCCTACAGCTGCCAGCTGTGTATTCTGTCACTTCTTTCCGGCTTAAAAAAACGGTGGGGCTGTGTTGCTATGTGCTCAGCAAAAAAAGTTCAGAGTTCCATTTATAGCATCGGTTACAGCCCCACCTTGAGGCTGTTGGGAGCCTCACCCTAAGTATTCATGGCATCCACAGGAGTCATCAAAGAGGCCTATTATTAATACAAAAATACATCTCCTGCTCTCAAGAAACTCCAGGAATTTTAGGAGCTCTGTAACAGGAACCAGGGACAAGGACAAAAATATTTTTCTTATTCTACCCCAAGAGTGAAGTCTTGGGAAACCAAGATATTGCGGTGGTGTGTGTATGTGTGGTGGGGCTACCTCTGCGTTACTAATTTCCAGTTTGAGAACAGTTTGTATACTTTCCATTCTTCTAAGTTTGTGAAGGTTTATTTTATGACCTAGAATGTGTCCTGTCTTGTTGAATATTCCAAGTAAACTTCTATAAATGACAATTAGATCAAGTTCTCCCTATTGACTAAAGTTGAAATTTCTGATCATTTGTCTTTTTTCCCTGTGTTGTCAGTTTTCACATCATTTGTTTTGATCCTGTTACGTAAATACATATTTACAATTCTATGCTTTAAAATATCATCATGTTATTATCAAAAGAGAAAATTACAGTAAAGCTTCATTCGCTTCTAGAATGAGTCTGGTGTACTGAGTAGAGGAAGCTGATTTTAAGACAGAAAAGGGCGAGAAAAGCAGGAAGAGAAAAAAGGCAGATTGGTTGATTCAAAGTTGCTGTCTGTGTAAGGATAAGTTGGAAGGACTTCATCACGTGGGCTAAAACTGGTTTGTTTGGGGATGTGGCTCTGTAGGGCAGTTCTTTTGTTTTGTATTGGGGATCGAACTCGGGACCTTGAGCTTGCGAGGCAGGCGGTGGAACCATGAGCTAAATCCCCGGCCTCTGTAGGGCACTTTTAAATTTACTCTTTTCCTCCTGAAGATTTAGTAATTTTAATCTAGAGATAAACCAACAATAGATAGATTAACAGGGAAAAAACCATAACAAATTTGTTAATGTGCCTAAATATGGGAGCCATACACCGAGTAAGAGACTTAAAGGGAAGAAATAAATGAAAATGGAACTTGCTAAAACCAAAGCCTAGTTCTTTGGGGAAAAAAATGAACAAAATTGATAGACCTCTAGCCAGGCTAAGAAAGAAAACAAATTGACAAATTTGAAAGGAATGAATAGCCTAACTACTGCTTCCATAGATAGTAAATTGATAAACAAATACAATGACTGATACAGGAGATCAGGGCATGGGAAAAGCTGGCTGGGAAAGTAGACGTGACCTGGAATTACAGGATCCTAGAACACATACCCAGAACAGTTCCCAAAGCCCTGAACGTGGACTTCTCGTGAGAGACCTGAAAAGCTGGATAAGAAATACTTCACCATTTTGAAATAAACCAATGACCACAACAATAACCCACAACTGTTCTCTTGCTCTTATAAACCTAGATTGTTTCTAATTTTAACATACTCATCCTCAAACATAAAAACTTCTCATTTACAGTGGACCCTTGACTTACAACTCAATTTGTTCTTTTTTTTTTTTTTTTAGTACTGGGGATCGAACTTGGGTCCTTGCGCTTGCGAGGCAGGCGGTGAAACCACTGAGCTAAATCCTCGGCCCCTCAATTTGTTCTTGAGGGTTAGTTGTAACTCAAGTTGGTCAACTGAAGGCCCAAGCTCCTCTACACAGCCTTCAAAGTCTCTCTCCTGTATACAGGCAGACCTCAGTGTCCTTAGAGAGACACCCGCCCAGGATTCTCAATTAACCCCATACAGGAAAGGATGCTATAATGTTCCAGAACTCTTTAAGGGTTAAATCTGTATCTGAGACCATCTGGAAACACAAGCAGCCAGCATGTGGGTTGTAACTCAAGATGCTGTTTGGTAAGTCAAAACTAAAATTCCAGTCGTAATCCAAGTTGTTCACATGTCAGGCTGGTCACAAGTCAAGGGTCCACTGTATTTAAGTCTTCAAGAAATTCCTATAAGTACAATTAGTATGTTATTGGATATATTCTTTTTTTTTGGTACCAGAAATGGGACTCGGGTCCTTGCACTTGCGGGGCAGGCAGCGGCACCACTGAGCTACATCCCTGGCCCCTACTGGATCTGTTCTTAAGGTACTTCATACTTAGCTCTAATTCTGGTTGGATACATGTAGCCTCAGAGTGTGTGACACAGGATATGTCGAGCATATCCGTGGTTGTTCTAATACACATGCACCCACATCCCCTCAGAAGTTTAGCACCCTCTCCTGGATGACAAACTGGGTTGTCACTTGGGGTCGAGCTCTTTATCATGGCTGAGTTACTTCCACATAGTTATTCATATTATACCTTCCATATTCTGAATGACAAGATCAACCAAAATTGCAAACTCAGTGGATAATGAAAAAAATTTATAAGGTATGTCATACCAACGTATTTTTTCCTTAACGTGACATCTGATAGCTCTCAGGCAAATACTGCATCCCTGTATTAAATTCCTCTTATTTTAACAAATGACCCCAATTACCATGTAGCCTACCTAAAAGCTCAAACTACTACAAAAATTTTAGTATTGCAAATGTTAAAGAGGAGTTACCATAACCCACACTTGTGTTAAAAATCAAACAGCATGTCATCTTTTATCCAGTTTACCTGGTCCAAGAGGTTATAAAGGCCATTTAGAAGAACGCAGGATCTCTAGGTTATAAGGCTGGTTTCAAAACAAGTGCTGCTTATAAGTAAGATCTTCCATATGACCCAGCTGTACCCTTTCTAGGGATCTTCCCAAAGAGCTAGAGACATCAAACTGTAGTGACACATACATACCAATGTTTACAGCAGCACAATTTATAAGAGCTAAACGCTGGAAGCAGCCTGTATATCCATCGACAAATGACTGGATGAAGGAAATGCGGTCCCTATATATAATGGAATACTACTCGGCTATAAAGGACAAATTTGAGACATTTGTAGGAAAATGGATGCGCATGGAAAATATAATTCTGAGTGAAATAAATCAGACACACAAGCTTAAATACCACATACTATTTCTTGTTAGAGTAGGCAACATGCAAACAGAGAGCACAATCAAGGACGGGTAGAAGGGGCCAAGGGGATCTCTTGCAAACAGGAAGGGGCCTGGGAGGATGTCGGTGAGAGGAGAGGGCGAGGGGAGGGGAAACGATCAGAATCAAGATAGGCCACCTTCAGGGCCTAAGGACCTCAATGGACGCAGACACTGTATGCCCTAAACGTGAGAAAGAATAATAGTGTGGACAAGAGTGAAAACGGGGAAGAGGGATGTGGAGGAGGAAGGAGGACCCAGGAGGGAAGGGGATTAAAAAAGAATCGAGCTGTACTATGTACACGCACTGACTCCCCCAGATGACTGTAAACTGCATGTGCTGCAAACGTATGGAGAGAGAGACAGAGAGAGGGAGAGGGAGGGAGAGGGAGAGAGGGAGAGGGAGAG